AGAGAGAGAGGCATGGAGAGTTAGCAGCAGCAGCGGCGCTGTTAAGCTCGCAGTATTGCTATTACTGAGCTGATTTCTAAGCTGGTCTTCTATTCTCTCCTGATCTGTTCTAACGCACGCTCTCTCACTCACTCTCGCTTTTGTTATTCCACATTCATTTACATTTCTGCTTAATATGCGTTGCCTCACGCATGAATCACCTTCGCGTCTGATAACATTTCGTTGAAATTTATTTATATACCTTGCCGAATACAATTAAGCATGCAAGCAGCTAAGCGCCCCCGGCCTGTCATTCACACAGTTTTGTTGGTCACTCGGTCGAACGCTGTAAACGTCGAGTGACGTCACAAGTTCATTTATTATTATTGCATTTGACAGCCGCCCCCTATATGAAGAAATATAAATATTTCTATTCTCAGTTTTCGACAGTCGTCTGCCATGTAACAAATTGCACAAATTCGCAGAAATTTGTATTATTAATACAAAATGCGCATTAGCTGTCGCAGCGCTCAGTTTATTTTTGTTTGTTGCGCTCACTTAAGTCTTGAGATGATTTTATTATTTAACCGATATGTATGTATGTATGTATGTATGTGTGTATGTAGGTGTTACCTACAGAAGATGCTCAGTCACAGTTGAGAAGATTGAGTCACGTTTTAATGATTGTTTCCGGGGAAATTCTCGAGAATTGAGTATCTAATAAACTAAGATTGTATTCGCGCATAACTGAGGGATATCGCATGCAAGTCTTTTGTCGGGTTTTTATCTTTGAAGTTTAAAAGATCTTTTGATGTTATAGTGTAGAAAATGTAGATCAAAGTTTTGAAATTGTTAATAAAATATCAAAAATATAAAATATTCAATCTAAGCGTTTTGTATGTTTTGAAATTGTTAATAAATAAAATATGAAAAACTTAGAAATATTTTTTCTAGGCTCCCAAACATTTTTCTTAAAACTTTGAAAAATGTTGTTCCACACAATAATAAAAAATGATAAAATCCCATCAAAAACTTTAAAGTTTTGCCCTCTTAAGCAGTATTTGTGCTAGTAGATCTTCTGAAATTTATGACCTATGCTTGTCAATTTTGATATGGGGCACGACCCCCCTCCTCCCCCCTGCACTGACCCCCTTACATATGAAAATTTCTTCGCAGTTTAACGCTCTATTTTACGCTGCATATTTGATGTGTTTTTGTGGCAGTTCACAGTTCCCGCTGTTTTTTGCTCATTTCACGCACACTTTGTAGCACGCACACAACTGCTTCAGGGTCTCAAAGACCCCCCCCCCCCTAACCCACCCTCTGGTAAACCCCCCTTCAACAGCAGTTTAAACCAGCACATAAAAAACCGGGGCGCATAACAAATTGAAATGCAAGTGCACAAAGTAATTTTTACAAAGTTATGAAGCGCTTTGGCGAGTCGACATACATATGAATATATACATATATATATATATATATTTATACGATGATTGCAGTGTATACAAATAGCCCATATATGGTATTTGTACAGTTTTTTAATAGGAAAATATTAATAAAATATCGCATTTGACTGGTTGGTGCCACGGCGACAGGCAAATTGTTTAACAAGCTTCAACAATTTTGCAATATTTCTGCAGGAGTTGGCCAGCGGAGGGGTTGGATGGATGGAAGGGGTTTTGGGGGCGGTGTACTTTGTGTGTGTTACTTTATATTAATATTTATACAAATTCAAATAAATGCATGAGCCGAGTTTGGGGTGCCAAAACCGCAGCTTTCAATATCCGCGTGAGAGATGGAAACAAACAACAACAACAAAAAAAATAAGTAAATAATACAAAAAGCAGTTGCATAAATTGAATAAATTTAACGCGACTTGTGCAATAGTTTTTCCCCAGCGGAAAAGCTACCCCAACTGCAAATGTTTTTCATTGTTTGCAAATTTAACATTTTTTGTGAATACATTGAAATGTTGACATGTCGCACTTATGCTTTAAAGCTGTTCATAATTGCGCTTTCTGCTTTTCTTTTTTTTTTCCTGGTCATTTATTAATTTTGCGCTGATTTATGTCATTATGAGGGAAAAATGAAATAAAATACAAAAAATAGCAACAACAAAAATGGAAATGGCGACACGCAAAATGCTCGCAAGTCGCGTGCTCGTCGAATTCGATACAATAAATTCTCATAAATACAACACGGGGGCATGGTCACGCCCACCGGCGCAAGCAGACGCCCAAGACAAGGATTTATGCGCTTGGCGCACATGACTTTTAATATAAATTAATTTTTATTATGGCTAAAAGTAATTAATGGACTTGAAAAACCGCATATATGATGCATGTACCGTTAAATTGCTGCAACAACTGTAACGTGTCGCGTGAGCGGCCGTTGCGGGGGTGGGCGCAAAAAGCTCATTTATAACGCAACTGTTTGTGCCAGCCAGATGGCAACCCTGTTACAAAATGAACTGGGCACACTGACTGCATTTGAGGGGTTTCTAAAAAAATATTACGTTGCTTTCAGCAACTGAGCACAGGATATTTTTGGAGAGCTTTGAGAGTTGATTAAAGCTTTTGAGGAAAAGAAAAAGATCCACCCAATTACAATTGAATAAAAGTATTTCCTGGAAAAAAGTATTTCCAAAGAATTGTTTTAAAAATGTACAAGCATATAAGAGCTTAAAGCTAATGAGGGAAATAGTTACATCTACACAAATACAACTTTACTTAGAGTAATTATCGAAATATCGAAGAGCTTTAAGGTAAATGGTATCTTGCAGACTTTTATAATTGTATGCTATCTTTTTAGGCTAACGCTTTCCATAGATCAAAGACCGTATAGAGCTTTCGAGATAATGAAGGCAAGGAAAGCTCATTAAAGCTTCATTTTAAAAGTTTGTCTGACGCATAAGCTTTATAAACTAGAACAACTCAATTACAATTAAAAAAAGTTATATAGATCCAACAATGAAATTTAAATAGAGCCAAAACATGTGTAACCTTTTGAAAGCTTCGAGAGAATAAAGAGCATTGAAAGCTGATTAAAGCTTTATTTGAAAAGACTTTTCTAAGCCTTATCAAAATAGAAGCTTTATAAACTACAAAATCTTTCATTTAAGAAAAGTTAGGCTATATTAATTAAAGAATTAACTTTAAATAGAGCCAAAATATATGAAAACCTTAGAAATCTTTACTTGTATTGCTCTATTAATTAGAGCTCTATAGAAAAAACATTAATGGTTCATCAAAATAACTTCTACATCATAAGCAAAACTTGAGAAAATTCCGATGGGTAGCTTTAAAAAATAATTGAACCAGAAATTTTGTAACCGTCGAAGATCCCCTCAATTATGCAATTAATCTGTGCATATTTTATAACCCAGACAGCAATTGTCATAGCTATATTTGTGCTGGGAAGCTCATTTGCCTCATTTTTTAGCTTAATATATAATTTGTTTTAATGCACCCCGTTGACACATAATAAAATGTATAATTTGTTTGCATTAATAATTTGGACGCAATGAAGTCAATCCGAAAGCAAACAAAAAACGCACACAAAAAATGGCACCTCTCACACATCTATTACGCAAATATGTAAATTACAATGTTAAACAGCAACAAAAGACAAGTTTGTTTGCCTATTAAGAGTTATAGACTGGGAAATACCCAGTAGAGATCTGAAGAGTTATATCATAATTTAAGAAAAATTTATGAATTCATTTAATAAACATCGTTTAAAATCGATAAGTATCGATCTTAAAGGCAAAGTTATTAAAACCTTATAATATAATAAAAACCAGCATATGAAAATCTGCTGTAAAAGCTGTTAAGGTTTCGTGATCTTCTTGCTTAACCTCAAAAACGTTGCTTGGAAATCGATATTTATCGATACATGCCCTGATAACCATCGACTGCTGATAAAGAAGAAATTTTTCTCTTACACATTGTTGTTCAATAGACTGCACTAACCTATTTGTAACTGCTACAGGGTATACAAAAGTAGCAAATCTAATTGTATAATCTTGGAAATCGATATTTATCGATATATGCTCAGATATCCACACTTAATGCTGATGTGATGCCTGTTACATATTGTTCCTTAAGTTCAATAGACTGCACTAACCTCTTTAATTGCTTCAGGGTATACAAAAGTAGAAAATATAATTGTACAATCTTGGAAATCGATATTTATCGATATACGCTCAGATAACCACCGACTTAATGCTGATGTGATCCCTATTGCTTATTGTTCCTTTATGCTGATATAATGTCTGTTACATATTGTTCCCTAAATTCAATTGACTTCGCTAAACCATTAGAAATTTCTACAGGGTATACAAAAGTAGAAAATCTAATTGTACAATTAAACATTTTGTCGTGTTAATAAAATATTTATGATTGCGGTGGCTGCCGGTTTATTGACCAGGCAAATAAACAAAACTTAATTATGGTTTCAGCAGCTGCAAAAAAAAGATATATACAAAAAGTCGAAACAATTGAAAATTAAAAATAAATAAATTGCACAAAACCAAATGCAAATTAGCACGCTCTTATGCTAAAGCAAAAGCTTTAAATCAAATGGAAATTAGGAAAACTTTTAAATTATAATTATACCAAAATAAACCACAGCCAAAAAAATGCCACAAACCAATTGCATTAAGATTAGATGTTATATCATAAAAAAATAAACATTGGAATTAGTCGTAAAAGCAGGCAAAAAATAATATAAGCTTGGGTACATCTTAGTTATAGTTTAATATATATACAAGTATATATAATATTTTTAGTTTAATGCAAAACTTTATTTGTTGAAAAAAATATTAGAAATTGTTTTTTAATATATATTACAAGTTTACATAGTCGGCTCAATATACATGTTGTTTATATATATATAGTATATATAGTGTGTATATAGTGTAGTATATAGTCGGTTAGTAGAGCTCTACGCAGTTTCGTTTATTTTATTTATATATATATATTTTTATATATATATATATATTTTGTTTTTATTGGCAAGGCGTTTTGCAAACATTTCCTGGTTAGATGCGTTTTTAATATTTTTTTGTTTTTTTTTTTTCAAAATTTGCTTGGAAATGCTGGTAAAAAGCTTTTATACCTGAGGCTCATCGATGTCGCGCACCTCATTGTCCTTGGGCTGTTTCTCGAGCGGCTCACGGCGATCGTTGTCCTCCTCGGAATCATCCAATTCGTGGCGCTGCTGCGGCGGCGCCGATGTGCTGGGCGAACTTACCGACTGGTAGCCACCGTGATTATTGATCACGCCCTCGGCCACCTGTTCGCCGCTCTCCAGCGGACGCACATTGACCAAACGCACCTTGAACGAGCTGTTCGCGTCACCGTAGACGGTCTCATTGATCTCCACCTTGTGACCATTAACCACCTTGTTTTTTTTTTTGTACATATAAAAGCTTCGTATTAAATTGAATGGAGCATTTCACTTTGATGTTGCCTCACCTTAACCGTCGATGTGGTATTACCATTCTTGTCGTTCAGCGTTGTCAGCGGTCGCAGGCCAAAGCTGAGGGGATTAAGACTCTCAGACGAATCGCCGGAGCCGGCAATCTCATCTGAATCCACGGCGATGGGCCAGAGACGGGCGCGCAGACGGCGGAAAATGTCTGTAAAATGGGAATGCATAAAAAATTGTGTTGTCTGTGGTATAATTTAACGCCAAAACAAGCTAGCAAAGGCATCTTCTGGTCAGCTATACTCGACTAGCAGATACTCTGTACCCAGCGGAAGCGCCTATACTTTGCATGCTAAAAAGTCTGGCATTAAATGGCTTTTTTCAGTCAATATTTATCGATTTGGGAGGACTGCGTCAAGTTGATCTATATTAACTTGTACTACATGCAGCTTTTATATTCACCAAGATAGTCTATGAAGCAAGAATCGGCTCAAAAATTTGTGTTAGAAATCGATATTTATCGATGTGGAAGCAGCTAGCAATATTATCGATCGTACACTTGTTTTGTGGCTACAATTCACATAGATCATAGAATCTCTCTTATGGGTAAAACGTTTACAAGGTTGTGTTCTACAAGCTTAAGCCCCAAATTCGATTAATAATCGATAATTATCGATATAATAAGTGCTCAACAGATCGTTTACCATAATATTTATATGTGTCTGGTGTAAGAGATGCTACATTTCGCAGTTATTCTCTTTAGCTCTCACAGTAACCAAATACTATGAGCTTAAGCCCACAGAAAGCTCAGTAAACCGATATTTATAGATCTGTGAATCAGACAGCCATGGCTTTACACTAGTTTGCTGGTACTTTTCAAGAATTTATATGCTCTATACATTCGGAAATGTCACCTATTACCAGTTACTTTCATTTGCCAAACTTTCTCATATCCCTTTAGTCACTTGAAAGTACAGGGTATTATAATAAGAGCAAGGCCACTGTCAAACTGAAATAGGTACGCAGCTACAAAGGCGAAGGTACGCGCTGGGAACTGGCGCAGGTGTTGCAAAGTGCCAAAATGCCAGCTGAAATCGACTTGGTTCTTGTTGTTGTCATCTCTTTGATGACGCCCAGACGGCAGACGCCTTTTGCCTAGCTAATGCGTTTTTCTGTTTAAATTCCCTAATCCGTAAACGCACTAAAAAATACAAATAGCAAAAAAGAAAGTGTTTTCTGTGTCGCCGTCTGCTTCTTACATAATCCTCTTTGACACGCCCCCACATGCCCACTGTCTACACATATGTTGTCACATTTCTCACTCTTTCTTCGGGTTAGCCTTTTTTTTTCTTTTAGTCAACCTTGTCATAAATACTTGACCGCATTGTTTGGCCGGCTTTGGCATGTTGCAATTCATTTGCTTGTTGCATTCTAATGAGTTTAAAGCGTGCCTCTAATGCTTGACCAGCTTGGCCAAATGCTTGACATCATTCTAAGATGCGGCGACCTTTGAACTTTGTTGAGGGTTTTCTTTTAGTTTTTTAACTTGAAGCACCGGTTATTTCTTTAACTTTCAAATAATTTAAATGCAGCTTTTGAAATTCCAATTCGGAGGTGTTTTGCTGAAGATATTGTACCGTTTTATTTACTCCATATTTCTTTTATCATATATATATAATCCTCTTAAAGCCTTTTAGATTGAAGATTAACTTCCATTCAAATATGTTAACAACATGTGCAAATTGTGTGAAAATGGGGCAACGCCGTCATTTTAGAGTTGCCAGCTCTATTTAACTGCTTGGGCATTGCCAAAAGTGCGATAAAGTTTTCAAAAGGCAACACTGCTCAATCGTCTTGTCAAATATTTAACAGCTAGCTTAACTGCCAGATAATTAAATTTTACGGCAAGTGTTTAAAGTGATTGTCAGCCCTAATAACCTCCCAAATAACCGAACAAAATTTGCCTGCTATCTCTTAGTCCAACACTACGTTAACTCATAAAAAACACACCAAATTTTTCGCAGTGTTGATTAGCACCAGAAATCATAGAAGTTTTTCTGTCAGTGCTGTTGTTATTCACTTGTTATCTTTGAAGCTGATGCCAAATAAAAGTTTCTTGCATATAAAACGAGCCATTGGCTTAAGAACTTTTTGTCAGCGTATTAGTTAGCAAAAGATTTATGAAGTTTGGCCACTTCTCTTCATCCCTAGCTAAGAAGCAGCATTTTATAAATGTTTTCCCTCCTCTCCTTTTTTTATTTTTCTTCCATTTTATTTTTATTTTTTGCCAAAGGCTCAAACTTTTCACTTTTAATGGTCAACAGAGTTTTGTGACCCAGCACATGCATATCAATATAAATATAAGAAATGAAGACAAGTACAAGGCAAAAACTTTGGCTGGGCCACAACAATTTTGACATAATATTTTGATAAATTGTTTACATTTCTCCAGTACTCTCAAGCTTAACTGTGTGACGAACTTTAAACTCCAGTTTATTCAAAAGGATCTGCCATGCAGGGTTCGCAGGCATGGCCCGACGACTAATTGGCTGGCTTAACTGGCCAATCGGAGAGTATTCCAAATTCATTTTAGTCAGCCTTAAGAGCTTTTTGTACCTATGAGAGCTGAGCGCTCACGAAAAGCATCTCAATAAAACTTGGTATGCAGTAGATTTGTCAAAGACGATCGGATCGAGTTACTATATTATATAGTTCCCATAGAAACTTTTGATTAAAAATTGCGTTTTGGTGTATAAAACTTTTTATAGCCTTGCAGATTATAATTGTGTTTTGAAATGTGTAACGCATAGAAGGAAACCTCTTTGACCCCATAGAGTATATATATATTAGTATTTTAAGGATCCCAAAACTTTACGAAAGTGTTACCAACCTTGCAAATATATTTCAAATTACTTGAATGCTCTATAATTCCGAAGATGTTGTCCAAAGTCTTATTAGGCGTCCAATAATTTACTTAAGCCCCATCAACATTTGAACTTTATATCCAAATACTTGAATGTTCTATAATATATCGCCCTTTTATTTGGTTTACACTTTCTCAATGTCTGCAAGTGTGTTTAAGCTTCGTCATTCAAAAGTTAACTTCACTTTCGTTGTATATCCAAATAATAAAAATCTCTCATCATGTAATAGCCATAACAATGAAAAGTGCATTAAATGCATGCCGTACTTGGTAATAACTCGTATCTCCTCTGCTAATGAGGGGAGTGGCAGAGTGGGAGGGGGAGGGGGAGGGGGAGGAGCTTGCTGTTTGGCAACATACAATTGTAATTAAATGCAATTGCAGATGCGTCACGTGGCAGCCACAAAAAAAAAAAAAAACAAAAAGGAGTTAAAAACTCACCATCAAAGGAATTGGGAATGCCCAGGGAAAAGTGGAAGACAGACGGATCCGGTTGCAGGAATGGAGTCTCAGCGCCCGTATCGATTACGCCCTTAAAGTCACGGAAAGCCGGATCGCTTGGTGTGGGCCGCACGGCAATCACCTCCGCATCGTCCTGCGGACTGTTGCGGGCTGCAAGGAATGCAAAATAAAAATATATATTAAAAATACAAATAAATATTACGCGTTATTATAATTAAAAGCACAATTAAAATGCGCGCCTTTTGGCCGCTAAATTAGCCGCTGGAAATGCGTCGAATTAAGCCAAATCAGCGAATTCGTAAGCCAAAAACCGCAGAGTGCAGAAAGTCCTTAAGCTTTCTCTGTGCCCGCTCGACCCTTTGTGCTTATCATTTAGTGGCCTCATTAGCGCTTATTAGAGTTTACATTTTGCATAATTTGCCGCGCTCTGGGGGATATGCCCTATAGGAAAATGTCTTGACTGCAACCGTGGCACGCTCACCTTGCGGCGGCAGCTAAGAAATGCTGATGATAGCTGTATATAAAATGATTCATAAATATATATGAAGCTGCCAGCGTTGTCTTAGCATTATGGTTGCACTTAAGACCAGAATTTAAATCGTTTAAAAGATTTGATTTTTTTTTAGTAAACCTTTCATTTATTCTATTTATCTTTGAGTCTCCTAAATAAAAATAAGCCTGGGATACTATAAGAGCTACAGACTTCATTTGTAATGTATATTATATGTATATATGTATGTACATATATGTACATTTGTTGATTCGATTGTTCTAAGAGTTCTCCAAAATCGATAAATGGAAAATATTCCATAATAATTCATATTTTTGTCCATCTTCGGATCTACTAAATAATAATAAACTGGGTAGACTATAAAAGCTATAAACCTCATTATCAATGTAAATTATGTGCAGAAAAGGTTAATTTAACTGATATATGCCGTAAAATATTCTGTATTAAATTACATATACCATTTATCTATTAAAAACCAAAAAACTTGAAGACTCTAAAAGCTGTAATGTGTATTACGAAAGTTACGTTTGTTGTTTCGATAGTTTTAAACGTTTTCCAAAATCGATAAATTTTCTATAATATTAATAAATATCGTACTTATAATATAGGTTCTCATGCGCTTTAATCAGTTTATGTTTTTGGATGATTCCACCGTTTCCTTATATCGATAAGTGCCAATACTCTCTAAGATACTACTTTATATATCCTTCCTTCGATAAATATCGATTTCTAACCACAGTTTTAATGTGACCTCTCTGAGATCACAAAAGATATGAGATATCAAGCAGAAAAGACATATCAAAAACATTTTTCTGTCAATATAAATTTTGGAGGCATATAAATACCATCTCAAACCCTAAAACGAACAGAGTAAGAGCTCGAAATATATAAAAAAATGAATTTTTCATAATATAGTGTTCCACATAACATATACAGGTCAATTAATTGTCTCAGCTGTACTTCTCTTACTCTCTTAATATTGCTTCCTAACCACACAAAATACCCATTTTTAATACCAGGAAATCGCTTACCATCTTGAAACTAGGCCATGGCTCTATAATAAACCATCGTCTACAGCTGTAGGGGTAAATAAACAACTGCTTGCAACTGCCACACAACTCACATGGATTCAGGCAGCCTTCGCTTGGGGGTCCATAGATAAATCTGTCCCTTCGGCCATGTGGCACTTCATAAATCTCGGCAGCTGAGACTGACGCACAGCGTAGTACAACAAGTGGCAGCAAGAAAAGGAGGCAAAACATGTCCAACGCAACCAACTAACGATGTTAAAAATAAGTCCAGCCATGTTAAGACTCGACTTGGTATGAAATGCGATATGTGAGACGATTTACAAGCTGCGTAAAATGCGTACGCAAAATGCAAAATGTACGTGACCCCTGGACGCAAACCCCTTTTTTATTTTATGCGCAGAGGAGGTCACAAAATGAATGCACTTTTTTTTAAGCCGATTTATAAGTAAAGCACACGGCACACTCGCAATATGTTTGGTTTGCAAAGCAACGAAAAGAAATGGGGGCAGGGTATGCGCTTTATATATGCAAGGGGGTTGACTCTGATGCAACAGAAACATAAACAAAATGCGAACGGGGGGGTCGCACATATGAATGTCATTTACAAGTGCAAATATTTACCTTTTGCGGCGCATACGAAAGTGGGCTACAACCTGGCAAATATGCAGCGTGGAAATATTTATGCATATGCATGGCAAACATGAACGTAATATTCGGGTATATATACCTGTCAATAGGCAAGAAACTTAATTTAAAGACTTGCCCCACAAACGATCTTGTTGAAGCTTTGCTATCTTAGGGACAAACACTAAGCAGACATGCTTCCAAAATTTCACAAAGCTAAGCTTTAAATTGCGCTCTTAATCAAAGAATATACAATTAATAACTCAAGTAACTTCGCTTCCGAACTTATGATTTTGCTGAAGATTTGATATCTTAAGAATGATTGTAATAAATAAATGTGTCCAAAATTTAATAATGCTAGCCCCAAAATTGCGCCTTTAATCAAAGAATATTAAATTGCTAACTCAAGTAACTCAGCTTCTGAGTCACCGATTTTGCTGAAGCTTTGCTATCATTAAGACAAACCCAAGTCAAACATGCTTCCAAAATTTTATGCAGCTAGCCTCTAATTTGCGCCTTTAATCAAGGAATATAAAAATGTTAACTCGGGTAACTCAGCTTCTACACATACTATGCTAAACTAATATGCCCCATCTGAATAATTTCAGAGCACAAAAGCCAGCCAGATTGTTGCGCATACATACATACATATACAATATTTCATGGTTTTATGCAGCATACCTTGAGGGTGCGTCGTTGCCATGGCATTTGGTGCCAAACCCAAATTGAAACATGTTTGAGAGGGGGCAACGTGCCAAAGAATTTATGAAAATGAAAATTGTGCAGCAAGTGAAATGTTGTGGGGTTAAGAGCACCACCCAAGCAACCCCACCTCTGCCCCCGCAACCCCCACTCCATACTGCTAGCCGATGCTATCCCAACTAAGCCCAAAGAAAAAAAAACACACACACAGTTATTAATCATGCGAATGCTAAACAAAAGCAGGAGTTCCCCTAATGAAAACATCTACATGGCATATTCATTAATTTTCCAATAATTAAGCTGTGCCCCCGCACACAACATGCAACCGTTTACCCCCCCCCCCCCCTGCCCACTATGCCCCCTCCCATTCCTTCTATTGTTTCGTTTTCTGAATTATGAAATTAATAAAAGCAGTTGGCAAAATTTCGCAGCGCTCGGCGCTTTTGTTCTAAACACAACGAATTTGTTGCTAATTATGTAAGGTTAACTGTATGCCCAAAAATGAGGGGGGGCGTGGCGCCAGCCCCGCCTACTATTGTAATTTTTCGCTGAGGCGCCACAAATAAAATACCAAAAAGCGTTGCTGGCAATCACTTGGCCTGCGTTTTATGGTGCTAATTGCCAGCAGGCAGCAGGGTAGAGGGGCACAAAGGGTATAGGGGCGGAAGGGTAGAGGGGCGCTTTCGGTTAAGAATGAAGGCCGGTCCTGAGCTGTGCGTCAATTAATTAACATAATTGTACAATTTTGCATAATTAACTAGGCAGCGATTTTTTCTCTCTTGAGTTTTGTAGAGTTGAGTCGAAAAATATTTAAATAATAATTGTGGAAAAAGGCGGCAAAACATGTAAATATTGCGGATATTAAAAACAAAAATGAATATGGAAGCAAAAAAAGAAAACTCTTTTTCCCGAATTCCCTCAGCTGAACCAAAATTAAATAAATAAATATTATTTTTAAGCTTTAAAAATCTAAAGTTAAAAGTAATCTTTTGTTATTGAGTATCTAAAATTCTCAGACATCCCTTATTATTATTATTTATAATTATTGTATTATTCTTACTATTATTTTATTATGCGTTATTATTCTTTATTATTATTTTATTATTCTTTATTATTATTTTATTATATTTCTATATTATATTATATTTTTTCTTCATACAATCTCAATTTAATTAAATTTTAGTTTTGCTTTCTTAAGGCTAAGAAAAAAGAATCTTTTATTAAATTTTCATTCAACTCGCAGTTTCTTTGCTTTCTTCCAAGTTCTTCATTTTTAAAAACTTACAAACTAGATTGTTTTTTAAGATTTCACTCAATCATTTAGCAGCTTGTGGCTGGACAACGTTTTAAAAGATTTACATATCCAACCAACTAACTGCAGCTCTTCTCACTCAGCGGCAATCATAATTACATGCCATTGAGGACGAGCAACTCTTGTGGCAGCCGAAGCCATACTCTGCCCAACAGTTGCCAGAGGGGTTCGTGGCGGGGTGCAATTTGCGGGAGGGGGGGAGGTTGGAAAAACATCCTGTAACTATTATGGCAACTTTTTACATTAACCAAAGTGCGGGCTATTAAAAATTCATTAATCGCATGCAACTGAAAAGCAAAATACATCATAAAACTACAAGAAGGCAAAAGTGCACGACTAGCAGATACCCTATACAAAAAACCCAAGTGCTCATAACTACTGCCATATATTTATGTAAAAAAGTATGTGTCCTCAAATAACTCTTGTGTTTACATTTGTATCTTAAGAAAATTGTTGGTTAATAAAAATTAAATTTAAAACAAATAAATATACAAAAAATCAGATCGTTAGCTGCCAAAATGCAAAAGTCGTAAAAAAAACTATTAAATTGTAAAACAAAATTCAGAAATATCTGTTCATTATAAGCAACAACATGAGTATTATATTATCAACTGCCTGTTGTCCTAATACACCCCATTTGCTAGCTTTATGGCTGTAGGGTATCGAAAAACAAAAAGTAAAAAAAACCGCACAGCAAAAAGAAAAAACTCGCTGCAAAAGTTTAATTGATTTGCGCGCTAAATTGTAAAATAATTGATAGATAGAAGCGTTCAGAATTTAATGAGAATTTCGCCCGCAGAGAAAGTTGCGAATATTTACAAATTGCAATACGATAATTTTGAACTACAACAACAATATAAAAAATAAATTAAAAAAGAATAAAGCTTTTGTTATAGTTATTAATTAGAAAAGTTTTGCGGCCAGTCTGCAACTGCACACACGCACACACTCATACACACACACACGCACA